TAGATGAAAACAATGTATGGCATAAATGAACTATTCGATAACTAGTACTACCACCCATTATTACCACAGTTTTATAATTAGACTATACATTTCACCCCGTTTATAATGTAATTCATGATATTACTATTAAAAGTATGTTTATTCTAAGTACAGAATCGATTAACAAACTAGATTCAAGTAATTTTTAGCTTGCATTAAACACAATTTTGTTAAATGGCTATAAAATAACTAGATTATTGTATTTTTATGTTTTCCTTAATTGTTGTCATATATTTTATCTTCTCCAAATTATTGTTAATTAATCATCTACCTTTTACTCTGTTGCATATCACTTATGTCTTGGTTGTACACTACTTATAATCACCTACTGTGTTCTGATGGTTATTATGTACAAGCTCATGAGCGTTTTGGTTATGACGGTTGACAATAATAGAGTGTTTTATTTGTTGCTTTCACCGCGACTTCTAAATGTCTACTGAGGCTAAAAGGGAGCTGCTTTCTAAACTAATATTCACTTAGTGTCGTTTGTTTGAATCTTTCCATTGATGTTTTAGGACTGCAACTGATCAGTCTCTAATCGGCTATCAGAACTCAGTGGCCGAGTGGATAACGCGATGGCTTTTGAAGCAAAAGGTACTGGGTTCGAGTCCCAGAGTGAACACTACTATGAGATGCTTGTACATCCAGCTGACAAGTCCCAAACAAGATGAAACGCGCGTCCTGGATTCCACTGCTAGTCACTATCTTTAATATTAGTTCGGTTATTCTTCTTTGTTGTTTAAGATGAATTATTGTCAATCGAATCATTTCACTAATGAAACTAAATACCATTTGTCCAATAGGCATAAAATGTACACATCGTTAGTGTACCCTATAACCAAACAGCCCGATAACGTGGGCCACAAGAGCAACAATATTTCGTAATTCACAAAGGTGCTCACTTTGATTTATTGATGTACAATTACCAAATAGTGAATATCTGATTCTTTATGTTTTACTTCTAATTAAACACAATAATCTGAAGGGAATTATTGGTTTCATGGATTGATTGGAGTTAAACAGAAACACCATCGGATGCCGATTCAGTGGTTTATCGGTTAAGTGCTCTAGCGCGAGACTGGTAGGTCCTGGGTTCGAGCCTCACGAGGTGAGGTCGTGGATGCGCACTGCTGAGGAATCCCACAATAGGACAAAACGACCTTCCAGTGCTTTTAGGTTTTACCTAGTGGTCTAGCTTCAATTGACTCACGCTTTCAACTATGACAATATTATGAATAATTATTTACGACTATTATTTATTTAATTATTTTTCATTTTATGTGTACAAATTAATCAACAAAAGCCATATGAGTTTAAAAGGTAAATCATAAATTTTCTACTTGTTTGCAGAAATGAGTAATAATAATAATGAAAAAATTGACCTGATTAATAAGAAGCTAATTATTTGTGTACCCAGAACGTTCTTGTTTCACATGCACACATTGACCTGTGAATGTTCTATAGTTTCATAATAGAAATTAATTCTTCCACTCTTTCTTTATTGTGATTGTCCTCATAATATAAATATCATTATTACTCTATTAATCAATAGAAAAATGTGATATTTTTCTGTTCCAGTTATAATAAATAAATGAAAATTAAATATCATAGTGTACATCTTGATCTGATCTTATTTAGACAGTCACTGAACAATTGTTTCACCATAACATAGGACTATTCGGCAATATGCATCAACGACAAAACCAGTAACATAATCCAGAGTTTTCAGTCCTCACAACGTATGCTAAAACTATTAATCTGGCACAGTGGTGAACATGTCTAACTCTAATTAATTCATGATTCTATGATTGATGATATTCGTCTCACACCTCGAACGGTCATAGCTTTTGATAGAGTTACTTCAATAAGTTAGTCATTGGTAAGCATACTGGGGTTATTATTATGATTATAGAATACCATGGAAAGTTCTGAACTAAAAGAGACAAAAACTCATCAAATACCTTTTTATGAGATAGGTTTTTCTTTTCTTATAACTAATTTTGATATTGTCTGAAAGCTGATATGTTCTCCTGTATATACAACCTGATCAACTTAAATCCCTTTGAAATCAGTGATCAATAGTTCTATATACAACTGGTATTAAACATTGAAAATTTACTACAAATTTAGTATATTGTTTAACACAGATTGTTAGTGATGTAAAGTTGGTTTGTTAGTATGAATGCGTTTTGTTTTAATTTATTCCACTTATACTCCACCTAGTCCTATATCATATTCTATAAACCTTATTAGTACATGAGTGACAGAAATAATAAAACACTAGTGTTAAAATTCACTTAGCACAATTCAGCGAAAAGTGACTAAAGTTATACAGTCGTACTTATGGTTCATTAATGTACATAAGTATACAGTATTATAACTTTACAATATAAGCAGTTTTACAATATAAAATAATTGTAAAACTGGAGTACATTAAAGTCAGTTATAGCGTATTAAATAATTACCAAATTAACTATCCTTATATGATACATCAGATTACAAAGTCACTAAATATTTCATTATAAGGAGGTGAAATAAACTTACACCAATGATTCACATAGTACTTTACATATTTAAATCCATCTTAATTGACAGTCATTCTGTACACAAAGCTCAAACCTAGGTTTCTAACTAAATAGAGAAACACGTTTCTTGATGGGTGTAACAAAATCTGACTTATGTCTTATCCTATCAACTAATACCCCCATACATTTATAATCAGCAGAAAAATTCGGACCTAAGGCCTCCTCGCTGCGCTGCTGGATAATGGGGGTAGCCTTGCTAGTCAAATTAATCGATCGACGGACCTATAGGGCCGTGGTTTTCCACAAAATCACATACATGCAGTTGGTTTGTAAGTCTTGAAAATAAGAAATTCATTCGAGAAGACCTCCCCAGGAAAGGCTTAACCAACTGATCTGGCTGGAAAACTGCCACATTGATACTCATATGTCGAAATAATTTTAAAAATTTTGATTGTTTATCTTTTGTTTATAGAATCCTCTTAAATCATTCGGTTTATTACACGAAAATGTGTCTGCGATACGCTTTATAGGTTGCAATAAAAAATAAATGAACTCATTACGTAACTTTTGGTTCATTTGTAAAATATGGAAACTGTTAAAAAAATCAGAAATCAATAATCATCAGCTCTTTTTTGAACTATACTTTCATTTTTGATTACTGGTAATCATTCCAGTCTAATTGAATATTTATTTTTTGTGGTTTAAAGATTTAATTTACTGACATATATTGACAGTCTTGTATATCATCTGAGATTTTAGATGCTCAAATCTATTCGGTTGAGAGTCAAGATTTAGATTGATGGCACTAACTTTTGTCTGGTCAATATTATATTAAACCGACAACTAAAGAGATTAAAATTTATCAAACATTCAAGTATAGTCAAAAACTCGTGTTTACTCATTTACAATGAACATTTAAAGGCCTATTGGTTATTATTAATTATTCGACTGCCCAGATCGCATTTATGATCAGATAAATCAAGTATTAAATGAGCTGATTATATTTAATTTCATATAATGATCCGTACTTATAGATAAATTTCTGGAAAGTTCAAGCTATGGTTGACTTTTCCAATGTGATTGGATAGAACTAATGAAATATTTTTCCAGGTTCTACCATTTCTTCTCAATTACTATTTGCTTATACGATGACAACATGAAAAACTACGTATTATACAACATTTAGAAACTTAACATGGTATCATTAAATTTCGTTACTCAAAATCAGCTGATATTTTCATATATGTAGGCATCTTTCAACAGCTGTCTACATGGCATGTGAATGCTTAAGTTTATTTTTCCTAAATGTAACTTACATTTTCTTATAAGTGCGATATCTAATCATTGAATACGAGGACTTTGCCGTTAAAATTGCACATGACCAAGAATTTATAGCTGTTCAATTTTATTATTCTGTGCTAAAACTGTTTGTTTTACCAATTACTATTAAAAGGAATATAAGTCACTGCTGGATATAATTCAATTAAGAGTGGCTTGTATCAACCTGTTGTTGATATTTTTGACTGGAATTTGATCAACTTGGTTAGCATATGAGAATCCTTCGCGAACTGTCTCGATATATGCGACAAATCCCAAATATAACGAATCTCGCAACTTGCACAAGTCAGTGGCTATCTGGACTAAATAACTAAATGGATAATGCAACGGCTTTTCAACAGATCGGTACTAGGTCCCAATCTCAGAGTGAACATCAACCCTAGGATCCAGGTATGTCTGCTCGACGAGTTCGAAATTGAACGAATTGTGCATCGTGGATTCCAGTTCTAGCTATATTCCATCTATTCTAGTTCAACATTGATCGGTTTGTTTAGAGGAATTCGAAACCATCTCTGCTTAGATTAGTTCATCTTCCATTATCCAGGTTTCCTGTCCCCAAAGTCAATTAATTTCTACTTTGGCAATCTGATAACAAGGTAAGAGTTTTTTTTACTTTTTAATGTATAGACGTCTGTTCAAATAAAAATTATTTAAATAGTTGATGTCATGAGTCATTTGAAGATAGGCCACCATGGAAAACCGGAAAGCACTGGATGACCGCCTCGTCTTATTTTCGGACGCCTCGGCAATGAACATCCACGATCTCGCCTCGCGAGATTCGAAACCAGGAATTATTGGTGTCGCGCATGAAAAAAATCATTATGCAAAGGTGGTTCCGAAGTTTGGAAATAAAAAAATATGACAATGAACTTTGATACAATGTGAAGAGTACTGATTCGTAACCATAGTAAGAATTAAATATTATCTGAATGCCAATAAATTCAACTGACGAATTTCTTAGGTGGGAAAATAATGTATATCATAATAAAATCTATAATATCTACAGTTAAAAATCATGATATATTGAAGTGGATGATTTTAAAAAAGGGAAACAGTATCACATGGTTTATCGATATCGTAAAAATGATAAGTACTCACTTATTTGATACTTGAGCAGAGGTTAACCTGATAAATGCATTCCGTATTCGTTGCATACTAACAAGCACTTGAGCAAATGGTGTCACAATCACACCTTCAACAGATGAATCTGGTAAGACTGCAGTTATTCCATTTGTACTTGATGAACTGGTACTAGTTGCAGCAGTTGCTCCGCCTGTACTAGATCGACCCAATCTAACAATCATCGATCCTCTACGTATAGGAATTTTTTTATTCATTAATTGTGATTCAAATGAATTATTTGTAATCGAATTTAAACCATTTCCAGTTGACGTATTTGGATCAGTTGATGTACGTGGTAAAAAAAATGTAGGAGAATTATGATGATTACAATAGGAATAAGCATGATTATTCGTTGTGAAATGTATATTGGAAATAGATCGCCTAAATAGCTGATTAAATGGCCTAGTGCCTTCCTCATCCTTTTCAATTCTGTGTACAAAAGATTCTAATTGTTTAGCTGGACGCTTTATTACGGGTGAACTATTCATATTTGACAATGTAATGGGGCTTAGAACATTATCTTGTGATCCACGAGCATTGTCATTATTTCTATCGCTCGTATCAGCAGTAATAGTAGAAGTTGTAGTAGTAGTAGTAATATTTACAGTGTTTGTATTCATTGGATTAACCTGTGATGGATGCTGACTATATTTACCGTTAGTTCCAGGTTGACACAAAGTTATTTTACTAAAATCTGAAGTTGTCATGCTATTATTGGAAGTAGAAGTACATATAGTAGTCATATCAGTTGTTGTTGTTGTTATTGTAGTGTTAGTAGTAGTGACTGTCGTCATCATACTTCCACGATCACTACTATCTACCATATTCTGAATCTCCAATTGATAATCCTTACTAGTGGTCATAGAAGTGGCCAAATGATCACTTTTTAAATTTTCATGATAATTATTTTCTACATGTTTTGTATTTGAAGAATTCGCTAATAATAAAGCCTGACTATTCTCTGAACTTTTTGAAGGATGCTTAATTGTTCTCAATTTCGATGTCTTCTTTTGTTGCAAATTTGGCTGAGGATGATGTTCATTACATTTTATACAGCTTATAGTACAACATTTCTTCCACATGACGCCTTATATTTGACATAAATATTTAATTAAATTGTAAACCATTCAATGATATGAACTGATGATACATTGTGATAAATATGAACAATGTATTAATTACTTGCTTTTATAAGAGTCATCATTAAAGAACAAAAATTGTGTAAAAATTAAATGTGATCCTTTTCAATCAATAAATCAATAACTATGAGAAATACTTCCATGAATATTACATTTCAATATGTGTTCTGTTTATTAATGGTAACAATATTAGTATGATTTTAATTAGTTTTTACAGGAGGAATGAAGCAAGTTAAAAACTAAATATTCTTATGATGAATAATAAGTAGTATGTAACAACTATTTATGAACAATTATACTTAACATAGAAATATATCTATCTATCTACCTACGAATGGGTTTCCATGTTGCTATGTCATACTGTGTATGTCTGTGTTGATGCATATATATATATATATATATATATATATATATATATATATTCTTCATTCGTTTGTTTATTAAAAGTTCACTATATATATCAGTTATAGTCAAGGAGAAGTGGAATATATATAGTGAGTGTAACATTGATGAAATTCACATATATATATATATATATATATATATATATATATATATATATATATATATATATATATGGAATAAAATAAACATAATATTTGAATATTGTTAAGTTCATTATCTAAGGACAGGTATTATGAATGTTTAAAATCAATGGTTCATTTATTTCGGTTGATTGTCTATCTGACGATCAGTATTCCTTTCAAATAATACTACTACTAATAATAAGGTTATTAATAATTATGGTTATTTCTATCTAGGTATGTGGGGACCGAGACAATTATCCATAGAAGATACAAGATAAGCAGATGGATTATATTACAAATTGTATTCTAATTTATTGAATATTGATTCATTGATCTTAGAATATATTCTCCTTAAGTAAACTAATTATCGATTGTATAACAATGTGTTTGCAGTGCCAAGATGCCCTGTAATTTTTAATTTAGTTCACTAGTTATGATGACTTGACGATAAAACTGATTATTATCATTATTTGTTGGATTTTTTACGAAAGGTTTGATAATGATATTATACAAAATTTATTATATTTATCATTACTATACTTTTAATACACTCTGGTCTGCTTGATTATCAAGACTACCTGTTCTTACCATCTAGATATTCCAAAACGTTAACTGTTTCTTTGTTTTAACATGTCATTATGTCAATCAATTGTATAACCTATTCAAGTGCGTTTATGAGACGTTTATCACCTTTCTCAGTTTAAGTTACAAGAATTTACAATTGGAGACATCGGGATTGCTGGCAATATAGATTGAAAAGTATAAACATTATTTAGATTTCCATTCCTCTGCTGCTAACATCTAACTTGGAATCACTCAATATTTATCCTCAGGATCGATCAAGAAATAAAAAACGGAAGCTTCTTGAAATACGTCGTGCTGAGGATTCTATATTGTACCAAACATATAGCATTGAATAAAGCCATTAATAATAATATATAATAAGTTGGTAGTTGTAAGGAATCAACAGGAAACCCTAGACCTAGTTTTCGTGCTACTGTCAACAAGGTGTACCTGTGATTTCGAGGGGACTGATGCTGTCTGATGGATCCCATTCCATGTCACCCAGCTTCTCAATCATAGACCCTACCACTGATCAATCAATTGTGGAAACATTTCAGTCCAACAGGAGGTCAGTTTGTTGTGAACGAGAACACGACTGAGGACAATCGAATGTATTTAATCACAAATTACAGAATATATCATTAAATTCTGATAACCGTGCAGCAAACAGTTAATTTGCAAAATAACAACCAATTGTCCCAATCTTCACTGTTCCTTCTATAAATATCAGTCCATCTTTTCTAATTTGATTGTTTATTCATTTTCCTACCAATTGCGCTTGATGTCAGTTCTTTCCTTATCGGTCTTCTGCCAAAATACATTCTATGTCTGACCATCACCATATACTACTTATGTGGACATAAGTAGCCCACACCACAAGTTACGGCCCGGATACCACATTGCAACTTGGTCGACAGGATTCGATCTGCACTAAGAAGAACCCGACATACATGACATTGATCACCATCCAGTGATCAATCAATCTTAACAATATATAAGTTTAAAGTATGTTAAAAATAAGTAATGTCACTATAAATTGTAAGAGATCACTTTATACATGATAAATTGAGTTCATGGTATCATAATAAATTATGAAATATTTATCAATTCTAAATCAATGATGACTGATGAACTAAACTGTGTAATCTCTGTTTCCTTTTTCTCTACATCTTGATTGTATAAAGCTGGAGGATCACTGGAAAACTGTTTTATTCCAGTTTTCAACTGTACATTTCAAATTAGCGGGACAGAATATATGTATTTTGAGAGATTAGTATGTCTATCAACTTAAAAAATCTGTAACTCGGAAAAAACACTTTATAATTTCTCGACTGTTTTCAGTTAATATAAGTATGTGGTCGACACGTTCTCTGAAACAGAGTAGATAAGACATAAACTAAACAATGATTATATGCACCAGAAACGCCAACTCGATATGCATAATAAACTAAAATAGTGGTATGAATACATTTTAGTAGCCACGTGACGAGGTTATAAAATCAGGTTATAAAAACATGTACAGCGATGCACCGTCGAATGGTCCATATTATGCTTGTGGTTAAAAACCGTACATAATATACCACAAAATTAACTTCAGTAGAAAGATTTGTTCATTCTATATTCTTACGTAAGTTTTGACTGTGATGATTATTTCGTACGTTTAATTTCTCGAATTGACTATCTCTGAAGTATATTATCTCTTTTTGATTGTTCACTATCTTTAATGATACTATTTGCTTAACTCTTTTGATTTACACATAGTTTAAAGGTTTTGTTATTGTGACATAAAGTGAGATTAACTAGAATGATATATATGTGTTCTTGGAGTGATCGTGAAACTCATAGTGTCACTGGGTACTTTTTTACCATTCACCCCTTTTTTTAATTTTCTTTATTTTTTGCCATGTGTTCATTAAATATTTATTTTTGAATGTGTTGCTCAGGTATGTTTTTAACTTTCCTACTTCAACAACTTCATTGATACAATTTTTTTCCACTTTAAACTTATCACTTATCTATTAGATAAATGCACTATAAAACTCAACCAAACACTGATCTTAGTGGACACTTGGTAGCAATAATCCAATAGTAATGACTAGACATTTATATCAAGTCAGATAAAGATTGTATCTGACTTGTAACATTCTACATTGCTACGTACCCAGTTTATACTTTCTTACCATGATTGAAATATTATAAATAGAAGTACTGATCTATAATGAAAGTTAATTTATATATAAATATATTTCAAGACGACACTCTAGCTCCGTTGACAATTTACATGTTTTCACCAATTAACAGAATGTAAATAGTTGTAACAATGAATGATTGTTATGCTTGATAACCCTTCTCATATTTATAGAGAGTACACAATAACCAATTAAATTATGCATAATTTATGCAAAGTTTTGTGTCGAATTTACTGTGGACTTTTATTTTTTTGTATATTTTTTTCTGGATTTTTCTAATGAAGCTTGTTTTTTCATCTTGAATAGTCATTACAAATTAATAAGATAGACATTTTGCATAAAGCATATAATTATGATAATTCACTATTCTGTGATTTGAATAGATTTGTACTTGTCTGAGGTCTGTATTAATAGAATAAACTGTCGGTTTATTGTGAAGTACTTTTCTGCTCATGCATAAAAATTAATAGTGAACAAATCAAGATATTCCGGTTAAAAAAATATATGAATATTATAAGAGTTTACAAAATTGTTTCAATTTAGAATGTATCATTTCTGAATTTGTCTCATTGGTCAGTATATCCAATGTTTAACAACTGACTAGTGTGAACAATCCCATTCAAATATACAATTCAAGACCCTATATCTGTAAGATAAATCAGTATAATCGAGTTGGTACACTGTAAACTATTGTTTTGAAGTTCATGATTTCAGTCTGTTTCTCAAAAAGTTACAACTGCTTAAACAATATGATCCGTTCACCTTGACTAGCAAGATAGGTTGCATCCTCATAAGTAGAACTACATGATGTGAACAAATGATATGGTATAAATTATCCAATGAATCCAAATTGTGATGAATCTCTGTAGATGACTATAGTCACAAAACTAAGAAGAATTTTCGAATTTGTTTAAACTCAAAACAATTCATGCTCTATGAAGTTTCCCTTTTCCGTGATAAAAATGGTATACATTTCTAGGTCTTCTTTTTCTTCAGAGCGAAAATTCTTTACGTAATAAGCGTCCGTTGAGAAATAGAGTAAAAATAAAAAAAATTCCATAACAATAATTTCTTTTTGTTATCCTTTGAAAATATTTAACAATCCAATTCATTTTGAAATATACCTTGATCATTGTGAATGGGAAAATCATGCAAAAAAAAGCGTTTCTCTCTAGAATAATTTTTCATTAGAGAGAAAGAAACTTCTCTTTAACATTTATCGAGGTGACTAATACTTTTAATCTAATCGTATATTTCATTAATTCTGTTTAGTATTTTGGATGTGATGATATTATAAAGATGATGCAGTTGATTTCTTTGCCGGTTTTAACTTCAATACCACTAGCTGTAAAAATGTTTATAACCCTAACCCTAACTGAAGGCATCTACAAACGAGTAAAGTTTCACATATATATACACCTTTACCAATACATTTCAGCAAAATATTGTTTGTATATCGACATTCATATGAACCATATTATCACTTTTTATTTCAGTATTTATGGTAAAATCTTTCTTCCAATGTGGAAACTGCATTAAACATAAGTCATATGCAAATGCTACTGATGAAAAAAAATTAGCATATTTCAGTAGTTAATGTAATATATTTAAAAAAGCAAGATAATCACCACGGTAAACTGCTAAATTATTTACAAGAAAAATGTTTTATAGCCTCAAACTATTGATTAACTTTCTTGACTATTAGTTAAATTAAATAAATATGACTTGCTTTCAACGACACACCAACTTACGTATTATCTGTTGATAAAGATGATGCGCCATGTTGTTCCGCTGCAAGTGCTGAAACAAATATAGATCCACGCCGTGGTTTACCAACTGCAGGAATTTGTGGAGATAACTGAGGTTCTTGACTCGAAGATATCGTATCGTTTGATGGAATCACTTTACTAAGAAATACAAAAAAAAATAAAGAAATCCATTTATGACAAATAAATATAACTATAAAAATATCTTATAGAAGGTGTAATCTCATCCTAATAATCTTTCATTACAATAAAACATCCAAAAATTTGACTTATCTTGTTATTCTAACAGTTAAATTCACGACTCGATCCAAGCTAGACCACCAGTGAAAACATGGAAGCACTAGATGAATAGCACAGAACGTTTTCTGAGAAGTCCTGTAATATAACGA